GGGCCTCTCCGCAGCGCCCCTCACCCCTCCCCCGCTCCGCAGACATCACAGGGCCGCTGATCCTGCAGACGTACCGCGCCATCGCCGACTTCCAGAAGAGCTCCTCCACCGAGATGGCGCTGGTCTCGGGGGACGTGGTGGACGTGGTGGAGAAGAGCGAGAGCGGTCAGGCTCCGCCCTGCCTGCCCCGGCGCCCCAAGCCCACACCCGCCCCTAGCCCAGGGCCTCAGGCCACCTGAGGGGCGCCACACACCCGGTGGTGCCATGGTCCCTTTATGGGAGCTAGGCGTGGGAGGGCAGGCGTGGCTGGGTGTTTGAGGGGGTGGCTGTGGCCCCGGGAGCCCACCTCCCCGCCTTGACTTCCCTTCCTGCATCTGGACCCAGGCTGGTGGTTCTGTCAAATGAAGGCAAAGCGAGGCTGGGTGCCCGCGTCCTACCTGGAGCCCATGGACAGCCCTGACGAGTTAGAAGACCCCGAGCCCAACTATGCAGGTGCCCCTTCCCTCTGAAAGGGTCCGTGCTGGGCCTGGCATGCGGGTGCACTGGGCAGAAGGCAGTCAGGGCTAAGGTCCGACTCAGTGGGCATGGGGGACTCCTGGTCAGGACAGGGCAGCAGGAGTGTGGCAGGAGGAGAGGCAGGTCAGCCCGGACAACTGGTGGCCTTGGGGATGGGCCCTGACTCAGCAGGGAAGGGAATGAGGAGCAGACCTGAGGCTCAGGAGGGAGGGCTGCCCGGAGGCAGGGGCCTGAGTAGTGATCAGATTTCCTCCAATGGGCTCATAGTCCCCCAAGCCCTTGGCTGGACGCCTCAGTTTTGAAAACTACAATTAGAGTTGCCCACTGTCTCCCTTCTCTTCAACTGCTGCAGCAGAAACAGCCGGAGCGTGGCTCTCAGAAACAGAAATGTGCTTCCTCACGGTTTCTTTGGGAGGCCAGGAGGGTCTGAGTTTCTGACATGCACTTTATGTGAAAGCTCGTTCCCTCTCGTCCTCTCCGCCTTTGTCACTTTTCAGCTTCTGTTTGTTCCGTAACCATCTTCGGGTGGTGTGGCTTCTGCCTGCCCCACACCTGCTTCTCTGCCTCATCTGTTGCTTT